TAACACAAGCAAATCTCTGCAGTAGTGAAGAGCCAGCACTGTAAGTCTATCCAGCAACCCGAGATAGTCTTTCATTCACATTCCAGCTTAAGCACAGCCAAGCACATCACGTTTGGGGCGCTCAAGTCATACTTAATTTTGTTCAACACCTTCTTTTGACAACAGCTTTGTCACCAAGACTCAAAATATGCATGTCAAAAAAGACAGTCATTTGCCAGGACTGTCACTGATTCTCTCAAGATAAAAATAATAAAGCTGTAAGTGCAAGGAGCAGAGGCTGCCTAATTGTCAGCTGTATAAAGCAGAAATATCAAGATTATTGTCCTGAGGGCAACAAGAGTTTAAGAGGAATAGAAGATGATGCCGCAACCTGTTTTGAAATCTTGAGCTACACAGGAGTCAAAATTTAAGGAAAGCAAATTAAAACTCAATGCATGCTACAAAAAAACACTGATAATTTGCCAGAGAACCAAGAGAGTAAACAAACCTGCCTAAGAGGGACTTGCACCCTATTTAACAGCAAGGAACTGAATGACAGATCAACCTAACAAAAATATCCTGCACAGCATGGACAAAACATTTACTCCAGAACTCTTTGCATCCTCACACATCTGGATATAAAGAAAACAGCAAAAGCATGCTACTCTTTTGTAGAATGAGTGTAAATGTGGAATTTACCACTTGAAATCTGACAACTATTATTTCAGTGACAATGGTATTCCAAACCTCATTTTTCTGGGCAATAAATTATTATGATCAAGCCCAAGTAGGAACAGCACTTCTTCATACACAAGGGACTCCCAACACAGAGTATGCTGCTGCTTCCTTGGGCTTAACAGACAGACCAAGGTGAAAGCAACCTCACCGATCCCGTCAAACGAGGCACCTCCAGACATCGCCACCATCGCTTGCCAAGACAAGCATTCACAAGGTATCCACATCCAGCATCAGTGAGCCAGTATTAACATCTACTGCTTGAATTACGGCTGCAGGCTAATCTTGGAGAAATTGATGGTGACAGCAAACCTGAGATTTTTTTTTTTCCCACCTAAATAACAGGATGGGAAGCTTAGGTTTCCCCCCCTTCCTTCTGGGAAGCAAGAGGGAAGCTCTAGCTTCTCCTGTTTTATAACCATCCTGACACACACCTTCCCAATTCTGCTTCACATGCAGGAGCATGGCTACTGGCATAGCTTGGCCTGTTTCCCAACCAGCTGTCAGACTGCTAAGTCTTGGTCAGTTTTGAAAAAGAGAAGAAAAAATAAGATAAAACAAAAAATGCAGCATCACCTTAATAACTGAGTAGATGTAATCAGGCGGTGGAACATTTCACAGGAGGACACTTCCTTCTGTCTCTCATATATTAAAAGCTGAAAAGACAGCCAAAATAGAGTATATTCTCCTGATAAAAATTAGGAAGCACTGTAACAGTAGGACAACCCTCCATTCTCACAACAGCCAGGTAGACAATAGTGAAGAAAAAGTTTATTTTATTCTCTGACCCAACACACACAAAGATGGTCCAAGGAGCAGCTTAAAATCTGACACCTACCTGTGACAAACTAACACAGAAGTCTGAGACTCAGACAAACACTCAAGACTGAGCAGTAATACCCACACAGCAGTCAGGGCACCTTCTGACAAGTGAAGGTGATGCCAAGGTTTGGGAAAAGGCACATTATGCTAACATGTTACGTATGGGCTTCACTGGTGAAGACACATTTCTATCCCCAGCACACTCCAGTAAAATTTTAAGCTGCAAAACAGGCACATGTTTGAGAGAAATACATCTGTATTTTGGCATGTAAATACCTGAATTCAGTGCTACAAACCCCAGCTCAGCCATAAGACTGCACAAGGCCACTGTCTAGTATTCCATTCTATAAAAATTACTAAAACGCCAGTGACAAAGAAATTTTGCTTGCAAGATGCAATGTACATTTTTATCATGCTGGATAAAATATCTACAGTCTCAGCAGTGGTTAAATTGCTGCTATAAAGGAAATTGTCCTCAGATAAATGGTTTCCCTATGAGAAGGTTTCAGTGCTACACCTCACCCCAGGTCAATAAATCAAATTAACTGCACCTTGTCCTCTGGCCAATGACATCATCGGCTTGACCACATCTTGTGAAGCGAGTGCAAAAACATATGCTATTTAAGGCATGAAATCATATTACTGCTTTTTGTCCAGCCAGCCTTGTGCTGTTGGTCTGTGAAACAGTCAGTCACCTGAACAGTCTCATTACAGCTTCTACAGCTTTTTTTTTCCTTCTTGTATTCAAGGCCTGTCTTTGCCTAGGTTGAAGAAAAAAGGATAAATAATCTGAGTTGTTATTTTTTAAATCAAAATGCTTTTCATTAGCTGCAGTGCAGTATTTTGTGACAAATTAAATTTAGAACCAAACTACGAAATACACCATCTGCACTTGCACGTGAACGCTCTTCCTAGTAGTGTTTCAAAGATGTTTACATGCTAATCTGGCACTGCTACTCTGAAGTACCCTGCTGTTCGGTCCTTTTTTTCCACAGGGTGAAAACAATGGTCACTAATGAAAACCTAGCCAGTTTTATTTGAAACCCATCCCTGCATAAATATTTTCTATTTTAAATTACTGCCGCCCCCTAATCAAGCAGCCCATTTGTTTTATTTCTAAGTAGACTAATATCTGGTTTAAAACTGAATTACTCTAGACAATTTAAGAGGATTAATTTCAATTTTCACATGGCGTTCTTATGACACAATCACAGAAAACTTATCTTCCTTTCTATACCCTGTACTGCCTAGTGGTATCTTCTGTCTTGAAAGCAAAATCTAAATGAAAGAGAGAGGAAAAAAAAAAAAAAACCTCAGCCCAGAACAGTCAAAGATACAAGCAGTGACAAAAGCATCTGACACAGTGCACTGTTAGACCTCATCCACATTAAGCAAAAAGAAGGTGAATAAGATTATCTTCAATGTATTCAATTCTGTTTGTGTTCAGAGGGAGGAGGAAAGCTGTTTAGATTTTGAGTGTGTCTTCTATAGCCCTCTCAGTGCCAGAAAACGTAAATTAGAAGCAACTCTCCTTTAAGGAAAAGAATCAAGGACAAAGGGACCAAAAATGCCCAAGCCTCTGAAAAGCAGATATGAAAGGAACAGCTTTACAGTCTTGAGTTGCTATAAATTAAAAATAAGCTCCTTATTTAAAAGACATGAGTGTTTGAGAATCTGTGAGCAGATCTGATGCTGCTTAAGCCCCAGGAGGGTTTTGTTTTTGCTGGCAGGGGTGGAGTGGAGATGGGGGGGTCATTTTGGTTATTAGTAAATAAATCAAGCTGCAGAGTGAGGCCTAGGCGCTTGCCAGAGGAGCCGGGGCCTGGCTCTCCCCCTCCTCTCATCACACAGCCTGGGTTTGATCTCGGGGCCCTGTGGGTTTGCCAAGAAAATTTAAAAAAAAAAAGCGAGAGAGCGAGAAAGAAGAATCATATTGAACCACAAAAGCACATGGGGCGAATGTAAAATATAAACACGGCGTTGGGCTCTGAGTGGCTGTTATTAAAGGTCTGAATTACTAAACATGAGAGGCGGGGAAAGCCGGGCGGCCATTTCAATAATATAAACCTCCCCGAATTAGACATTATTCAAATGAGAAGGAGAGAGAGGGAAGAGAGCGAGAGCGCGGGGGAGAGGGACGGGACCGGCACGGCCGTGCCCTGGGGCGAACGGGGAGCGGGGCAAACGCCGCCGGGGCAGCTCCGGCCCCCGGGGGCGGGGGGCAAACCCAGCCCTCGGGGGGTCCCTCTCCCGCCGGAGAAAGGCTCGGGGGGGCTCTGCCCGTGCACCCCGCAGTCACCCCCCACCGAACCCGCCCCTTGCGAGGAGAGGGGGGGAGCTTTAAATGAAAAAGCCGAACGGCGCTCTCCTCCTGCCCCCCTCCCCGCACCCACCCGCCCCACGCTGCAAGGCCCAGACTCTGGGGAAATAAACCCCGGCTTGGGGGGGGGAGGGTGTTGCGGGGAAGGGGGGCAACGAGGGGAGCGATAAGGAAACCGAGTCTATCTGCCTCCCCAGGCCCCAGCCAGGGGCCAGCACCCCCAGCCCCCTCCGCCCCGCCGCCGGGGGGACCCTGCCCCACTCGGGCGACCCGCCGGGATCGCTCCTCCAGCATCCCTCCGTTCCCCACCCCCCCACTCTATGAATATGTAAAGCGGGTTTATTGTGGGCGTGCGGGCCGGGTGGCGGCCAAGCTACCCCCCGAACGCTTTTGGGTGTGGGGCTGCCTGCCCCCTCCCTCCCGGCGTGTGTGTCCCCCCTCCCTCCCGCCCCGACCCCTCCGCCTCGCCGCGCCGCCGCCGCCCATCGCCCCCATGGCCGGTGCCCCGGCGTGCGGGCTCCGTGTGCGGGAGGGACGGTGTGTGCGTGTGTGTGTGTGTCTCCCCAGCGCGGGGAGCCTGCTCTGCTTCTCCTTCTCCTTCCCCCCCCCGCTCCCTCCTGTGCCGTTAATTATAATAATCCTGAGTACTAATAAATTATGCTAAGCGGGGCCGGGCGGGCGGGGGGGGGGGGGGGTGCGCCCCGCGCGCGCGAGTATGAATATGAATATGTAAAACGCAGTAATGATTACCTGCCGCCGCCGCCACCGCCGCCGCCGAACTCTCATCTTGACTCGCTGCTCCTCCGTCCGCCATTTTGAATATTTTAACCAAAAATCGGCCGCGCGATAAACCCTCCCCCCTCCCCTTCCCCTCCCTCTCTCCTCCCTCCCTGCCCGCGCCGCCGCCGCCGCTCCGCGCATGCGCCCCGCCCTCTGCGCTCCCCCCCTCCCCTCCCTTCTCCTGGGCCGCTTTCCCGGCGAGGGCGCGGAGCGGCGCCGCGCATGCGCAGCGCGGCCGGACCGGCTCGCTCCCCCCCAGCAGCCGGCGGGCGACGAGGGGAGGCGCGTGCGCACTGAGGCGCCCCCCGCGCGCCCCCTCAGGGCACGGGGCGGTCCGACCGCCGACACCCCCCCCCCACCCTCAGCCAAAAAGGGCCTCCCCGTGGTCATTAGGGTTTATTTTTTTTTGTGGTTGTAAAATCTAGGTAATTTACAGGGGACAAATTGAATGTTTAGGGGGAAAAATCGGAGGTAGAGAGGAGGCAGAGAATGGATGTGTTAGGATAAAAACAAGGTTATCTGTAGTGGGCAGGGAGGAAAGGTTTTGGGCATAAAGCTGGAGGGGAGAGAAAGAACATTTTGAGGTGAAATTGAGGTAATCAGGAGTGGGCGGGAAGAGGAAATTTTGTGGGTAAAATCTGAGTTAATCTGTAGGGGAGGGAAGTGACATATTGAGGTAAAACCAAAGCTGTCTGTCAGTAGTGGATGGGAAGGGAAAATTGTGGGGCTAAAACTTGAGGTGATCTCTAGTGGAGAGAATGGACATAGTGAGGTAAAAATGAGGTAATTACTAATGACGGGAAAATCCGAGGGGAAAACCTGAGGTCATCTGTAAGGAAAAATAAGTATTTTGTAGGAAAAATCAGATTGAATCTTTAGGGCCAGAATGAGCAATTTGGGGATAAGGTAAAGGTAGCCATTGGATTTTCATGCTAGGTCATCTAGGTAATTATCGGGGACAAAATTCATATTTTGGAGGTGATCTATAGGGAAGAGAAGGAAGATTTTTGAGGTAAACTGAGGTAATCAGTAGTGGGCAGGTAGGGAGATTTTTGAAGGGTTAAAGCTTGGAATAATCTGTGGGGGACAGGTGCCGGTCAGGAGCCTCCTGGCAAACGGCCGCTCCAAAGGCGCTGTGTCTGTGAGGAGTGGTGTGGAAATGCCCGTCTGGACTGCACCTGCACCCAGGTACTGCCTGACTAAGCCCTGTGAATAAAGAGGAATTGTATCCAGGGAAAATGGAATCGCAGAACCTGTGGTTCTCATGGAGGAGGGTGCCTGAGCGAGGGTCTGTTTTTCCTCTGGAAAAGAGTGATTGCACATAAGCGATTCTCCTCTGTTCAAAAAACCCCACCCCAACATTCCCTCGTTCTGGGCAACCCAATGCTCCTGGGGTGCTTTTCTCAAATACTTTATCCTCTTACACTTCCCGCGTCAAATTGTCCTGGAAGGGGAGTCAGGTTTCATGTCTCCCTCGTTAAAGGGGAGTAAATATGAGACCAGAGGGACCAGCAAATAAAATTAGCTTGAGATTCAAAGCTTCCAAATCAGGATGAACAATTAGCCAGAGTGGCAAAACTTTGTTAATTCCTGACAGATTTGGCAGAGTAAAAATAAAACTTAATCACATTGTAATATTGCGTAAATACACGTTATCCCTGAGCTTTGTAATGTACTTCCAGAAAAAGAAGAAAGGGAGGCTGGTATAGAATGGCATTCATTAAGGACTCGGTCTTAACGTTTTCCAAGAGTCATTAACTCAGATGGGTCAGAGTCCAAGCCAGGTTTTCTTCTGGGGTGCAAAACATTGTGGAGTAAGAGGAGCTGTTGGGGATCTGTTCTTGCATGCTGTTGCTGAAGAAATTAGGAGTCGTATCAGAGACAGCCACTAGATTTTTTTTCATTGGTAGGAGAGAGCCAAAAAGGAAAGGCTGAATGAGGGAGACAGCAGGGTGTATCTGCAAGGGGTGAATCAGAAAGGTAATTTTGTCATTTTTATTTAAAAATAAGGTCCTCTGGTAATGGGATTTTTTTTTCTTGCCATCCTATAAAATAACCTCTTGTTATTGCAGAAAACACTAGCAGAAATGGACTGCAGTGCGAAAGAGCAAAAACCTTCCCCTAACACCAGTCCTACTCATGCACATTCATTTGCTGACACCCTAAACCAGCAATTAAGCACTTTGTCTCCTGAAGATCTGTGTTGCCCTCACAGGGGCGAACATGTAAACAAAGGCATATTGTCGTGCTCCTCTTCAGTTCAGCCATGATCCTCGCGGGCCAGTTAATCCAGTTTTATGGCCAGGTTATACCAGCACTGCAGCACGCAGGGGCTGCACCAGGACAGATAAACGTGGAGAGAAAGGGCTGCCTAGATTAAGACTCTGCACAGCTCTAATCCTGCCTACGCTGAATATTCTCTCCCGTATCTCCCTATCTCACCCAAAGACTCCCCTCAGTCCGGCATGCCACTTCCCAGTAACCTCTTTCCTGATCCCAGCAGCTTCTTGCTGGGGAGAATTTGCTCCCATTACCACACCTGATTTAGCCTTTGCTCTCGCTCAGCTTCTGCACACTTAGCTGGAACCCACAGCTACCGCAGGAAAGATGTCTGAAAACGAGTAGTTGCTAGTGGTTTGGTGTTTTTATTTTTGTGGGGTTTTTGTTTGTTTCTTTGTTTGTGGCTTTTTTTTTTGTCATTTTCTGGTAGTTATTAATCTGCTCTGTGTTTTCTAATTGACCACCTATAAAGGAAACTTAATTCAGTCAAGCCACATAGGTGCTCTCCCTCTCCCTGTAAAGATTAGTCTGGATCTATGTCTGCATCCTCTCCTCTAGTTTTCTTTGAATGCATCTCTATCTGATGCCTTCCCCAAGGTGTCATACATCCCCGTGGCTATATATCCAGGAAAGCTGGCCAAATCATTAGTGATGAATAATTTATCAGATAAATTTTACCTCTCTTTCAATTGTGAATGCCACGTAGTGCCTGATTGGTGTCTTACTTATGAGTAACTTGCTGGAAATGCTTGAAATTTGAGATAACTGGACACAAAGATGATACAGGCTTAGTCCTGTGAGGAGCTGAGCACCCTGGATTCATTTCACAAAACAATGTAAGAAAGTTGGTTGTTCAGCTGCAGTGAGACTGGGCTCACACTGGTGGTGAAGTATGCGCTGAAACAGAGCCCAAAGCAGCGAGAAGGACCCTGTGATTCTGTTCTCTGGCTGGACTTGTCAGCCACACAGAATTGCCTCTCACAGGGATTTGCTTTAAAAAGATTTTCTGGTGGTGAAAAACAATACAGTGTTCAAAATCAACACCACATGTAAAGGGAAGAAATGGTATTTGAGGATCTTTTAAAGCTCTGCAGCGTATCTGCGTCCATTGTTTTGATGTTGAACCAGATACCTCTTAATTCCTAACCCTAATTGGCCTGCTTGACTTGTGCCCATAACCCCAAATTTTCTATGATTGCTATGTGACCTTATGAATTTTCTATCTCCTGCTAGAATTAATTCAGTAGTGTTTCACAGACAATTTTTTTTTTAAGATAGGGAGGCAGAGGACAAAAGAAACATGAGGTGGGAAGGCAGCGAGCAAAAGAAACACAAATCACAGTATTTAAGCAAAAAGCACATAGGGAAGGAAATTATCCTTTTCATGAAACAGCTCTAGTGTATAGCGAAATTAAGAGCAAACTTATCTGCTCTGCTCCAATTCCACCGTGCCACTCAGATGTGAATCCCAGATGCTGCTTTTCTCACACGATGTCCCCCTTCTCTCTATCCTGTTTTCTTCACATAAGATTTCTCTCCTACAGAAGGTCCTGTTACTACAATCACGTATATTCTGCTTTCCCTTTGGTCATACAGATAATTAGAAGCTTCTGCCTCAAAACAGTCATTCTTTGCCCCTTGTGTTTTCATACATATGTCCTCAGAAACCTCTGTATTCCTTTCACTTGGGGACTGCACAGATCGTCTCACATTTAATTAAACTTATCTGTGTGTTTCTGTCTGTTTCCTATTTCTCATCTTCATAATCAACCTGACAGAGGAACCGGCAGCCTCCCTGCTACAGTGTTGTTTTTTGAACATGCTACCGATAGCAAAAGACACTGTCTTAAAAAGCTTGCAATTTAGGGAGCTGGCAGGGAAAAAACAAGGGAAAAATAGGATTAATACCTTCTTGATTGAGAAGGAGAAGTGAAGAAAAGCAACATAAAGACTATGCATAGTCCCTCCAGTGTCACAGCCGACATTAGTGGGACACAGACTTGCACCTAGGTGCTCGGAGGCTATGCAGTTCAGTACCACAAAGCTGTTTTTCCTTTCTCTCCTGCGTTGCTCCCCGCCCTCCTCCTGTTCCCAAGCATGGAAAAGGGTCCACCCTTATCCCCAAGGCTTGGGACCCACCAGTACTGTCTCTTTCCATTATTATACTTTGCCCCCTCTTCAGATCTCCTTCCTACGCACCTTGTGAGTGCTAAGCACGAACAGCAGAAGAGAAATGGAGACTGTCCACTGCATATATTGGATGATTTTTTCCCCTTGCACACTCCTCTGGCTGCCTTTGACCAGATTGCTTTCTGCCTTCGGTTCTGACCCTATTCTGTTGTCTCTGGACTGGAGAAAGGATGACCCTGAATCTGTTATTTTTGAGAGTTGTTGCCACTCCTCTGAATCTTAAAGATAATAAAATTATAGCAGGAAAGTTGTACCATCTCATAATACTCTGCCCCTCCCAAGTGCAGCTAACTGCTTTTTTGGAGATAAGAAATGGAGCATGGACAAAAAGAAGCATGTTTTCCATTTTCATATTTTTTTTAAAACCCTGTAATTCAGAACCTTCACACATCCTCAGGAAAGGGAGAGGTAATTATTAAAAGGACACTTATCTTTTCAGGTGGGTTTTTCAATCTATTTCTCCCTCTCTGCTGCTTTGCCTGTACTTACTTTAGCTCTAGCTTAGTTTTTTGTATGCATTTCAATAGTTGTCATCAATGCAGCTTCTGAACCTTCCGATTTTAACCAGTTACATCTTACAAATCACCAGCTTTGAAAATACAGGAAATTATTGCTGTACTTTTTTAGCAATGGTAAACTAAAGCAGAGAAATTAAGAAACTTGTCTTCGGTTGCACGTGTAGCTGAGCAGCCCAAGAAGAAGAGCCCCCAGTTCTCTCGGTTGTGCCTTGATTGAAGGACTCTATTCAGCAGTTATTGTTCCTCTCCCAGGGACCCACAAGGCTGGCTGCATCTTTACCTATTTCTCTGCTCTGAGAGGGACAACTATGAGGTCCTACAGCTTGATTCAGATCTCTAAGGAGTGGGATTTGCAATTGCCTGATTCAAGTTGCCACTCAAAACTATCACAGATCTGCTTTCAGTGTTTTTCTCTTCCTCCCCTTACTACAGCAAAACCCTTAAAAATACCTGTTTTTTGTTAGGATGATTACTAACTAAAACTTGGGAAAAGCTCAGATACTAAAGCAAGAGTGCCAGCAGTGTGAAAAACTCAGGCAGAAGGGCAAATTCTGGTTTGTACCTATACGAAAACCAGGGCTGAACTCCTTTTTTTGACCAGTTGTACAGCACGCTTTCTGCTGTAGACCTTGGGAATACTTTGGTGCTGCTTACATGAGGAACCAAATTGTTTTTGACCTCAGTGAAGAGGGGGCCAAGAGGGACACATCTGATGCCTTTTAGCAAACGCAAGGTTTTCTGTAGAATAGACATAGCCTATGAAACAAACACACAGCTGGAGTTAGGGTGCTTTTGAAAACATTGTCTTTATTCTCTACCTCCCTTTCTTCCAGGACAGCTCTTTGCTTATTCCCTCTTCAGAAAGGGACTTTTCTGTCACACAGCCTAGCCTGGCTGGAGATTAGGGATTCTCTCTGCCCCTTCATCCTTGAATATTTCCTTTTAATTTCACAGTTTAAATTCCAATTGTGTAATTACATTCTGCCTACCCCAAATTCCTCTGTAATTTCAATTGGACACGGTGTCCTTCACTCTCTAGGCAGAACTCTTGCAGTGCTGTGGGGCACTGTTAATAGGCTGCCACGCTCCACTCTAGTCCCATTTCATGTAAATGGGGAAAGAGAATGGACCTGGATCCCTTTGAACTAAAACTGCTGCTCCATATAGGCAAGACAGGGGTTGCTACAGAGTGACAAGTCAGTCTTGCCCCATGGCAATCCACCGGGCAGTTTTTACAGTGCCTCAGCCTGAACAGATTTTTGGAGTAAAAGTCTAAATCTGTCTGGAAGTATTTCTCCCCCACAACACCATACCATTTGATCACAAATAAAGCTGTACAGGGACACCCAAAACACTACTTCACTGAATTTATGTGGCCTGAGAGTACCTGCTCGGACCGTTTAACATGGCAGAAGTGCCATAGTGATTTAATTTAGGTCCAGGGAGTTGTGTAGCAATGAGAGGGCACACAGCACAGATGCCTAGTTCAGTAAAATGCTTTACAAGAACTGGCAAGTCCCATGCATTTTATGACCCAACCCTAACACTTCCTACAGATTTTGCTGTGTCAGCATTTCCCTTCAATCCTTACGCTGGTGGTGCTCACCTGAGTCCCACATCCCAACTCATTTTATCACAACATTCCCTTTTTGTGTGTTGGTATCTGCTTTACATCAGTGTGAAATCATTTCTAATTCTCCTGTCTCCTTCTTGCTTTCAACTTTCTTCTTCACTGTGGCACAGGTGCTTACTTAGTCAGTGTGCCTGTGTGCAGCCCTTCAGGTATCAGAGACATTCATCTTTCAGATTTTTCACCACCTTCTGCTGTGGGCTTCTGTAGAAACTCAAGGAAGAGAAGGCAGGGAGCATGTGCAGGTTGGGATAATGCTTCTCCTTTGCCTTGTCTCATAGAACTTCTTCTCTCTGTACACATTCTCTGGCAAGCTCAGGGAAAGGAGTTGTTCACCAGGTTTAGAGTGATGTTCTACACAAGTCAGCAAAAGGAATTAGTTTACTTTAGAAACTGGAATTATTTTATGTTTGATCATCTTCAGCCACAAGCCATATTCTTTTCATCATATGTACGCCATTGTCAGAGGAACATGGGGCTGATTCCATAGCTGGCGACAGAGTTCTTTAACAAAGTTTACTTCCTTTCACTGCAAGACTACCCTAGGTAGTCTCCTACCACAGAATGATAAATCTTAACTTGAAACAAACATCCCACTCCTTGCTGGCAGTGCTGTATCTACACAGAACCCCAGTTACTTTGAATTTTGATGGGACTTCTTCTTTATATATTCCAGACATTTGGTCCTGCTCCCAAGGGATATCTTTATGCCTGCTCCTGTGTTGGCAGACCTGAGGCTGCTGTTTGCATCTCTAGCAGCAGATAGATCAGGTGAGATCAAGGAGACCATATTTCCATGTTTTCTTGCTTAGCTTACACTGTTAAAAGTGAGCTGTTGTTAGGAGGAAACAGAGCATGTAATAACTTGAGTTGGGTTTTATTTGGCTTTGAGTCATAAATCTTAAAGGAAAGGAAAGAGCCATCATGTTCATCCCCAAGTTTGTCATACAATCAGCAAGGGGCAAGGCAGTAGTGTGGGCAAGAAAATGAAACATGTGAAGGTACAAGTGCCAGCGGGGGGAAGTCACTGTTGCTTATTGTCAGTTTTGGTGTGACACAGAAAGTTCAGCTAATCCTCTTAGTTACAGAGACACACGGGTGGGGGGAGATTGTTATCTCAAGCAATTTGCTGGCTCTACTCCTTTTTTCCTTCGAGTTTCTTTTCGCCTAATTGAGCAGCATTTCTTCCTGGGACTCGTTTGCAATAATCCTGGGGCCTCATCTGGGAAAACACTGAAAAATATAGAAAGGAGAAGCAGCCTGAGCAAGGCAGCTTGTGTCACCCTGAGCTTCTCTCTTCAGAAAGGTATCAGGTTTGGCTCCAAGTGCTGAGGATTAAAAATAAGATAAAGATTCAAAGTGAAACAGAACAGTCTGTTAATCAGGGCAAGTGATCTCTCTGAAAGTTGTATCTCATCCATGTGCTAGAAGGACAGGTAATTAACTGCCATTCAGAAAACGAGGACCTTGGTGGTCTGAGGGTGGAGTAGGGGCTGAGAATTTCACGGGAGTGCATCAGAAATGTGTTGATTCCATTTTCATTGCCAAAGGGATGTATCTGCAGTAAATCTAATCAAGAGTCAAAAGGTGAACGAGAACAATAACTGGGGAGTTTGTTTTTGTTTATCCAGGAGATAAGGATTCAACAACCGGAATAGAATGAGAAAAAAGGCACCTCTGTCTGAGCAGACAATTATTCCACCCATGCTAGCTTGCTCATCATCAAGGTTTTAATATTCTATTACTAAGGTTATTTAACAGTTTCTCAGCCTCAAGGCTGCTAATGTTCGTGCAGATACTCTGCCAGTTGCCACAGGTGTCTTTTTACAAGAGATCTGAATAATTAACATGGGATAGTCCTGAAGATGGCAGTAGCCAAGAGCCATTCTTCAATAGACTCCACACCTTCTTCCTGGTGCTGGAGCAGGGTTGGTATTACCAACATTTGAATACATTTGAAAATTCAATTTCCGTATGTAGACAGAGCCTTAGTCCTTGAAGTCACAGATTGTTTCTAGGGAAGTAAAGTCCCTGATTCCCAAGCCCCAGTGATTCCTCCTGGAGAAGTTTGATATCACTGTTCAACTGGCTGCATTACTAAGGTGCTGGAAGTAGTTATCCCAAATAAGAGATGGCTGAATGAGTGGTGTGGCCAGTGCAAACTGTTCAGCTCATAGCCTGATACATTTACTAATGTAAATCTGATTTCAGCTGATACCAATTTGCTGTGATATCCTGGACTGAGGGCTGCAGACATGAGTGATTTAATTCAAGATTATATCAATGAATTTTGCTGTGGTGGCTAAAGAATTTATTACTTCTAGCTGTGGAGATGGGTTACCTTTTCAGCTGGGATGGCTACATCAAGCAGGGACTGCCAGTGCCATCAGATGAGAGAGAAAGGGTCAGAGTGGACATCAATCACAAAACAGTTGTAAAACAACTACTATAGTGCTTTTAAGAGAAAATATGTTCTGCTGATGTCCTGCTAACACAGGACAAGGAAGTGAGGAGCTTGGCATGTATGTTGTATCTAGACATTCTTTTTCACTTTCTTAAGTTCTTCAGTCTCTCTCTTGTGTTGCTACTCTGGGCCTTCAGAACGCTTCTGAGCTCACAGGTCCAGAGCCCATGCCTGGACCTGGCCTGTGACACAAGCATGGTGCCTGCTGCTGGTTTCCAAACAAAGGAAGCCCCAAGGCTGGATCAAACAAGACTCACAATGTGTTTCACCAGGTTTTTGACTCAGGTACTTAGAGAATTAGGGCACCAGTATGTGCTGTGTCTTGTGCCTTGAGGTCGCTTTGGTGTGTTCCGTGTGTTTGGTGTGTAGATAATAACTGCATTTCCTTATTTCACACCCATATTGTGAAAATAAATGCATTAAGAAGTGTAATTGCCAGAAGGTACAGAGGTGAGAGCATCTTCGATGGATTTACTTCGTTTCTTAAAATACATTGGTAGAATTTGATTAAAACTAGTATTTGCTTTTTCAAACTGTACTAATTTATGGTTAGATTGTGTGTGGAAGCAGGTAGAAGGGAACTTGTACCTGTGCTATGCACAAAGCTCTTGGACCATGAGAAATGCAGGGAATGCTCTGTGATGAGTTATTTGGGAGCCTGCAGTGCTTCAAAAACACAAGGAGGAATAAGAACAGGGCAGGAATTGCTGGATTCATGGATCTGTCTCTTCCTTCTGCCGGTCTGCACAGCTAGCTAGTTACATGCAGGACTATGCCATGTTTTTTAACCCTCTCAGTGAGCATTTCAGTTTGTAACACTGAAAATATATGGCAAAGGCATGTTTTTAAGCCACAGAGAATGATTTCTGAATCCACCTCTGTAGTATTAGACTGCAGCTCTGATGGTGAGATAGCATTCACAGTTGCACAGACTGTGCAGAAATTAGACATTTATAAAATGCATACACAATGAGTTTAAAAAATATGTTTAATAAATACTCTTGTAGTTATATATCAGATAGATGAGTGTTAGATTAATAAGAAAATGAATGTCTAAAACCACTGAAGAAAAAGACAGAATTGCAGTGGAATATCATGAATGAAAAACATTTACCACTCTGAATAGGACCATCATATTTCCCAACAGCAGAACCCCATCCTCCCCTAATTCCCCCCTCCCTTTCCCCTCCCTCCTTAAACACATTCGCATACACTATGGGAGGAATGACAGCTGTTCTTCATGGAATGACAGCCCAGGGATATTGCATCCTCCCTTAAAAAAAAAAACAGGCAAGGTACAGAATAAGGTCAGTGAAGGGAGACAAAGGGGTCTCCCAGAGATGGCAAAGGGTAATTTATTGACAGATGAGATAGACGTTACTACAGAAAAATATTAAATGGATTCTTTTCTCCTGTCTTTAGAAGGAAAGAAATGTGGGAAGGGTTAGGAAGGACAGATGCCAGAAATAGAGACAAATTTCCCAGGAGAGGAAGAAGAAATCCTGCAGGAAATTAGGATCACAACACAGAAAAAAAAAAAATTATAAAAAATCAGAGCATCTAAAAAGCTACAAAATTCTGTCCTAGAATTCTGTACGGAAACAACAGAAAAGGGCAGCGGAGAAGGAACCCCGCCAGTGTTGGCAGCCTTGCTTCAAAGGTGTTCTGTGAGAGAAGGAAGTGCTGGTAAAACACAGCACCCGATTAAAAGGCAGTGTTTGAAAAGGGCTGTCGGGAAATTACAGAGCTGTGCAGGCTCCCGACGTCAGCAGCGAGGAAGACTCTGGGAGCACGAATCAAAGGGAGGCTGAGGGAGCATGTGAAGCATGGAGATTTTATTAGGGGCAGGAGTGAGAAAGGCTTCATATAATAATGGGGGCAGCCAAGCTCTGCAGATGGGAGGAAAGGAAAAGCCAGGTCTTCTGGTGCAATAAACTGGCATAGTGCTGTCAACTTTGACAGTATGTCAGTTCTCACTGCAAGGAAAGAATCCAAGTGAGAGGCTTAAATAGTGGATGTTATGAATATAGTTTCCCTGGCCTAGAGAACTTTGCCCAAAATAATTGCACAGAGGAGGGCAGGAAAATCCAGTGTACCAGCGCACTCTGATTTGGGTTCTGTAACTCCATGTTGCCTCTAGGACATGTTCCTAGAGCTTGTAACTTCAAAAGGGTTCATGATTTCCACCTTTAAGGGCGAGGCTGACAACAACAGAGCAGTCACCAAAGAAAACTTCCACAAAGATAAAGGCAGCAGAACAAAAGAAATTTGAAGGAGGACAGATTTAATTTACATTCACATGCAGGAACTGGTTTAAGCCAAACAGTATTTTATTCTGTCCCTTCATGCAGGGAACATGATTTTCACAGGAACTCAGTCTGTATGGTAGAATAAGGGAATAGGAAGACTTTTAGTGTGTCCATTGTAATGTGCCACATGCAGCACCTTTCTGATGCCACTGCCTGCGTGAATCTTGGCAAGATCTTTCCCTCAGAGCAGGTTCTTCTGCCCATTCACTAATCTCACCTAAACCCCTCCCATTCCAGCACGCACACGCGATGGTCTCTTACCATGTGCAAGTCCAGCAGCAGCCCAGGGCATTGCATCGCACTGTGTTGTCAGCTGCCTGCTTTCCAAACTGACAGAATTAACGCTAAACACGGGTTTTAAATTATCTAGATGTGGAGCATTCACCCCATCTCTGTAGCTGCCCATGCTGAAGGGAATAATAGCCAGGCTACATTGGATTTGAAGCTTTGGTACTCCAGAGGCATTTGCAATCTTTTGAGCCTTGGGAGCCTTTGAGCCTAGGACAAAGCAAAAATAAAAGCTGACGTTTTGCTGAGTTTCACTGTTCAATGCTAAGGAAGTGTTAAATGCTAAAGCAAGCTTGTACTTCCAGTGGGTGATTTAGCCCAGCTTTCTGCTGGCTACGAGGCTGCTGCATGCTCAAGTGCAATCTGCCACACAGAGCCAGACCCAATTTGATTGTTTCTGAATCATTTCTCAAACAGAAAAACATAGGTAAAGCTTTCGGTTTTGCCAGGAGTATATGTCCCATCCATGTGACGGCCAGTATTTATATTTGAAACCACCTGTGCCATCAGTGTGACCCAGATCTGAAAGATGATTGAAGCACTGCAAAATTCAGTGCAGCATATTTTAGGGACAGTCTGCAATTACACTGGGTTATGATGGATAAACATGAAACTGCAATGAGGAATTTCTCCCCAGCCTGTGCTCACAGACATGAAGTTACCTTCAGTTCTAACGCCAACCTTATCCACAGACAAGACACAGCCTATAA